TCCTGCAGGGTTGTTTGTGATCATTGTATATCCTCTGATTTGCATTTTTCTAGTATTTCTGTGATATGTTCTGCCTATTTGAAAACCCTTTTGGTTTTATCTTTTGGGAATACGTGATCTTTTTTTCTTGGTTGACTCGGCAGCTGGTTTTTCTGGTTCTTTGTTGAAGTTTACTTGCTGGGTTCAGGCTTGTAGAGACTGTGGAGTGGAGATATAGAGTTCAGTTGTGCTGTGGAATTGTACTGATGAAATGTTACTATCAGATGAAAGTATTGAGGTTGTGAAGTAAGTAGGATGTGAAGTAAGTAAGTAAGTAGGATGGGGAGGGGTAGTTCTCAGGGATATATATTATATAAGAGGGCTACTAGGGGCGTTAGAGGAGAAAAGAAGGAAGAGAGGAGAAGGAATGAGTGTGACAGGATAGAAATGAGAGGAAAAAATGACATTTTATTCTACTTTGAAGAAGGAAGTCAAGTAAAGGGAAATGGGGTTGATCACCCTGAGCCCTAATGTTGACTACACTGAAAAGCATAAGGTAATTACTGTCACCTATCTAATTACACCTGTACTTTTGAACAGAGAAAGGTAATATAAAGAGTAGGATATTATATATATATATAATAAACAACAGGTTATATATTGTATATATATATATATATTTCTCAAATCATCAAATCAGTAGATGCAGACATTCAACTTGGAGATTCACATTCTCTAAAAACTGAAGGAAAGTAAGAGAAAAAAGAAAAAAAAGAAAGAGACTCTCTACTCAGTGTGTCAGAGATCATTGCTGTTCAATATGGCAATTTCTATGGGAACGGCCCGAGTGAGGGCCACTTTAGAAGAAAACCCTCAGTTCAGAGTTGTAAGTTGTTCCTAGTTGCTACTGGAGCTACGCAGTTTATCCTGTCAGCCAGCCTGCATTGGGATATATAACAATCTTCTGCTCTCTTTCCTTTTTGGGGGCGGGCCTGGAGTTGTTTTTCCAAGTGCCTTCTTGGCTGCATGCTTCCCAAGGGGTGTTGCTGTCTTCTGGCAGGAGGTTTGGAAAGAGTTGAGAACTATAGTTTGCTGGGGAGGGGGGGAGCGGAGGGGGGGGAAGGGGCAGGGGTGTATCCCAGGAATCTTTCCTGGTAGCTGCAGAAGCTGTGGAAAAAGAGTTGGCTTCTTTGCCCTTTTCAAGTATGTTCCCTCCCTGTCAGGTGGGGACTTAGGTCCTGGCACTCTGGGTCACCCAGGACCCACACAGGAGCTGGTTCTCCAGGGGAAGGGCCCCGATGGGGTACTCACAGTTTCCCAAGCTGGTATTGAGCTGGCCAGAGAAGTCCTGGTGAAGCATCTCTGTGTCAAGGTGTGGCCATCCCTAACTCTTCTTCCTGGATATTTCCCAGGATGTGGCCTTTCAGGTATGTTACTCTCCCCATGCTGTGGCTGTGGCCACAGCAGCAGCTACTTGGCAAAGGTCTGCCCACTGATTTTGAAATCTACACTGATTTCTGTTCTTGAATTACTGAGATGCAATTTCTTCTATACCAGAATCCATTTCTCTTTATACATTGATTGGTGTGAGTCTCTTGGGGCCAAGTATGTGTTGGGACTCTTAAGTCTCTGCTCAAAGACAAGGGAGTTACCTGTGGCAATGCCACCATCTTCCCATAAGACCATTGATTCTTACACTTTGAAATCTATCACTTGAGCCATGACTCTACTTTTGGGGGGTTAATTGGATATAAAAGAATCTGATGAAATTTCCTTCCTGGGCTGGCTTTGAACTGCAATCCTCAGATCTCAGTCCCGAGTAGCTAGGATTTACAGGCCACGGGTTCCATGATTTCTATAAGGCTTCTGCAAAAGTTTGAATGGTCTGAATCTTCCATACAATTAAAGCATGTTGTCTCTTAGCTGGATGGAGATTGTAATTCTCTTTACTGCCACTGCCTATAATATAATCAAAGTGTGTGTATTCCACCCCAGTATCACATAGAAAAGGAAAACAAATTAAATGACACTAACAATTTTGTATGACTTATTTTATAATCATAAAAGCAACTGTCTTTAAAAATTTTCTAAAACATTGATAACACCCAATACTTGAAATGACTTCCTACTGTTACAATATTATCCTACTCAAATGCTAAGAAACTTTTAAAGTAATATATATAGAATACAGAACACATGGAGAATGAAGTCACTGGGAAGATTAACATATATGGCTGATGAATTACAGATAATGATCTGTGAAGGTGTCATGAAGCCATTTACATCCTTGAGTGGATAGTTTATACAATACTTGACTTTTGTTCCTTCCCCCCACAAAAGGTCTAAAATCATCATCCAAAGAAGTAGAAAGCAAAGATATGAATAATTTATGAAAACATTTTTGCAATCTAATCAGTATAGTAAATGTCAATAAAAATTCTTCATTACCTTAGGTGGAAATTGATATTATATAAACACATACAACTATGTATTATAATCACTTATTTATATTACCCAGAACTTAATACTCACTTTTACCAAATGAAAATTCTTGCTGCCTTCTTGAAGGTAAATAAAATTTGAATCCTCTTTTTCCTTTCCTCTCAGTATATATAACTATGCAATTGTGGTGTTTTTTTTTTTAAAGTTTTCTACAAATGGGCAATAACTATAATTAAAGTGTACTTTTGGAGTTTTTTTTTAAATTTCCCTTACAGTGTACTTTTTTATTTGTCAAAGGAAATGTCAACTATTGAATAAACAATCAACTCAAAATATCCTCAAAGGTTTATTATTTCTCTGATTATCAGCCCTTGAAGTCTTTCTTTTTCATGCCCTTGTTACCTGAGCATTTTCTATGCTAAATATCCTTGTAGCTGTCTGTCCCACTTGAGAAGGCTAATAGTACACCAAATGTATGTTCTCTTAAAACTGTAAATATGCCTTTCATGGAAAGTAAAGAATGTCTTCAAAACATTGAAAAGGTTGTAGGAAATAAAAATAATAAAATACTTAATAACAAACTTTACAAAGGTGAACAAAGTATCACATAGACTTTTTATGATACTTGAACTAAGCTAAAAAGCCTGTAAAATTGAGAAGAAAATAGTTTCAACATGTACAAATGATAATACAGTCACAGCCAAAGTATCTGAAAAAAAAAAGCTTGATTAAAAGAGAAAAAAAGGTTTAATCTGATAAAAAGTACTAGGGCAACAGGAGAAAGCTATCATAAATAGTAACAAACATATAGTCAACCTCATTTCCTATGTGAAATCAAATTACAATTTTCTTTGGAATATAATGATATTGTGTAGCAAAACAGAGATGTAAGTTCTCTATATGGATATTTCCAATCTTGTGTATTCTATAAAATAATCTTGTACCACACACATACAACAAGAAATATCTGCACTATACTTAGGATACCATTTGTCTTCAAAGGATCATGTGTAGCAAGAATGGTTCTCAGAGGGCAGTGTTGAAGTGGTAGGACTTTTAAAAATTGAAAGTGATTTGGTCATGATAGTTTGTTTCACTGTCAAAAAAAGAAACTCAGTCTCTCAAGAGTGACCGATGTCTGAATAGAGGTATTGATGGCCCCAAACAGATGGCTGTTACTGAAATTTAATTGTAATCCATCTGTACAGCATTTTTACAATAAAAAATATAATAAATAAGTAAATAAATAAACAAGACTGGCCTCTGAGGCATGCAGCACACAAAGAGGATAATGAATAAACTAGAGCACATAGACTGACAAGACTAAGAAGTACAGGATTGTCATACATCTTAATGAGAAGGATACAAAAAAAAGGTGTACATTTTGAGAAATAATTAACAGAAATCTTATAAATAAAAAACTCAAGAAGTACAAATAAAATCTCAGTGAAAAGCTTCACAGATTGGGTGACTCATTTTAAAAAAACAAAGATTTTTTTCATCCATTTTGTCTGATAGTAGATCTTCAATGCAATGTCCCTATCTGCTGAAGGCAAGGTCTCTCTCTGTCTTTAGCAGAGTCCTGAGTCAACAGAAGCATCATGGGGTAAGAAGGAACTGTATAAGCTACATAACCAATTGAGATTTTTATGCCTATTGTGAAGATAAATCAATAATTCATGAATCTATTAATTTAAGAATGTATATATCCATCTAATAATCACTTCTTTAAAGTCTCACTTGTTAATTCCTCTTAAAAGGGGTTAAATTTCTACCTAAGTTTTAGTGGGGACATTCTAATCATAGCAAAGGGGAAACTTTTCATGAAGCCAAGGAAAGACATTAAACAACAACAGCAACAACAATGACTGTTTTTGGTAAACAATACCAAAAACAAATCCAAAATTAAAGTAGTGAAAAACAATAATAAATAAACATGTTTTAAGTATAATTTTCTGGTGGGGCACTGGTGGCTCACGCCAGCAATCCTTGCTACTCAGGAGACTGAAATCTGAGGATCTTGATTCAAAGCCAGCAAAGAAAACAAAGTCCATGAGACTCTTTATCTCCAATTAACCATCAGAAAATGGGAAGTGGTGCTGTGGCTCAAGTAGTAGAGGACTCGCCTTGAGTTGAAAAGCTGAGGGGCAGTGCCCAGGCCCAGAGCTCAAGCCCCATGACCAACAACAATAACAACAAAAAATCTGCAAAAAAAAAAATGAAATGAACGAACAAGCAGAAATGATGAAATTCCCAAAATTTACTTTTATAGCTATGAAATGTTTTTACTCTACATTCAGTACAGAGAAAAATTATCTTTCATGTCATCACGTAGCTTTCCAAGTTCTTTTTATAGATAAAGTACATATTCTTTTGAAGACAATAAAAACTAAAAAAAAAAAAAACACCCTACCTCTTCCATTTTAAAATTGGTCCTGATATCAGTTTATTAAATTCTGTTAAGAAACTCAATAGATGTTGGACATATTTATAATCTGCTATTTATCCTGCAATGATGAATACCACTGATTTAATGATAGAGGGCTTTGGAGCAAGGAAAAACTTGAAAAAGATTACTTTGTTGAATTCTTTATTTAAATATGTAAAAAATAAAAAGTGAGAAAAATAATTGGATTGGAATAGGAAGTATTTAAGTCCTTAAGTACAAAATACCAGGGATGTTTATAGATTATCTTGGATAATATCAATGATTTCATGGTAAACCTGATGGTAGGCATCTAATCCAAACAAAAAGTCCATGTGATTGTAATGAGAAATGGATTTGTGGTAAATGATGTTTGTGATTTCAGAATATAAAAATTTAACATCTTCAGGGTCAGCCAACAAGTCCTTCTCACCATTCCAAGTTGCAGTTGTCACGTTCATATTTGTCACATTGTACGATGGAGGAGTTGTCTAAAAATAAGTATAAATGGGTTTTCACAAAATATATTAGAAACTTTACTGTTTGTGAGTGATACATTTTAAATACTACTTTAATACAAGTTACAGCTAATTAGCTCAACAGTGGATATATGGAAATGAAAGCAAAAGCATTACAAGTTTCACTTAGAAAAAAATCAAACAAATATAAAATATGAAGGTATGAACTAGTTTTAATTCTGACTATGAAAATATTCTATAGTTTATGTAAACTCTTAAGTATTGTTTTAAGTAATAATGAAGTGGCATGAAGTTATTTTGATCAGTTTTTGTATCTATATTAATATCAATATACATATTAATAAATTATAAATATTGCCAGTCAAGGTTAACTCTCACACCTCAATGAGTTTGATATTCAATTCCTTTTATGTATAAGAAGACCATATTGGGCCTTAAAGTTCAGCTGAGATAGAAAAACTTAAAGTCACACAGACTTGAGTTGAAAGACTAAAGAGAATTTTGCCATCATACTTATATAGTTTGGTTTTTTTTTTTTTACCACCTTCTCATTAACTTCTCAGTTGTTTTGGATTATTACATGTAATAATCCTCTCTCTCCAAATAGACTACCTGGTTTTAGTGTAAAAATTTTCTCATGTCTTTTTTTAATATATACTTTTTATTATAAAGATACTGTACAGAGGGGTTACAGTTACATGAGCAAGGTAATGAGTTCATTTCCTATGGAGTATTGTTACCCCCTCCTTTGTTTTCCCCCTACCATCCCTTTCTGCCCCACCTTCCCAACTCCTCCCCCAACCTCTGCAAAGTTGTAAAGTTTTTTTCCAACATAGTGTCTTCTATTTCAACTACAGAGTTGTATGTATTGTAAACGCAATATTTTTCATCTTCAGGTATAATCATTTATTCTATTTTTCAATTTCTCTAAACTAGCGCAAGTATATTTATTATTAAATATAGAAAAACATGAAAAATTACTTTGGCAATGCCAATAAGAATCCGAATTAATATAACTGCACTCTGTTGGTACTTTTCAATGTGTTATTATACTCTGGAGGTTTACAAATGATCCTTGTTCTATAACAAAATTATTTGAACCAATTAGGAAGATAAATGGTTATTAGTTTATATATAATAATGTACCTTATTAAAATGAACCATGTTCAGAGCAGCACTCCCCCAGTCAAAAGCTTTCAAGTGAGTAGAATATTGAAGCTGAAATAGAAAAAAAAAAGTGAACAGACTATATTCAGTTTCTCCCTCCCTCCTTCTTCCTTTCTTTTCCTTTTTTTTTTGTAAACAGAGCTTGAATTCAGGGCCTTGCATTTTTGCTCAGATTTGCCCCTCATAGCTGGTACTCTACTACTCGAGCCATTCCTCTTGTCTAGCTTTTTTGCTGGTTAATCTGAGGCTCATTGACTTTCTGTCCAGTCTGGGTCCACACCATGATCCTCAAATCTCAGCCTCCTGTATAGCTAGAATTACAGACATAAGCCAGTAGCATCTGGCCATTATTTCTATTAAAACTTGCTTTTTATTTTAATAAAAATCCTTACACTATTGGAAAATAACTGAGTATAGAGACTATCATACCAATACACTTACCAGAAAATGAATTTCTATCAGAAAATTTCTATCAGGAAATATATTTCTATCTTCAATGAATGCTTAAATATTCCTTGTTTGTTTTTTTGTTTTTTTTGGTCTGGTCGTGGGGCCTGAACTCTGGGCATGGGCACTGTCCCTCAGCTCTTCAGCTCAAGGCTAGTGCTCTACCACTTGAGCCACAGCGCCACTTCCGGCTTTTTTCTTTTTGCTTATGTGGTGCTG